TATATAAGAAGTGATGCTTTAACAAAACTGATGACCCATGAGCAACTATTCCTGAGTTTCTCACGTCACCGGAATAGTTTTGCGTTATTGGTTGTCCAACCAGAATGCTCCCCCAAGCAGAAAACATGGCAGCAGCGTGACGTATTAGCAACAGCAGCAGCAGCCTCCCTGAATGCCCAGGTATCTGTCTCTGGTAGTTACCGTTACAGCTCCTTTTACACTCACTTTATTGTCTGTTTTATTCAGTTTTATGCGTAGCCTGTAACCACGAACTTAACACTCAGCAAAGTTCACTTAACTAGCAAACTGGTTAGCGTTAGGCTAACAGATGTAGCTCTAAGCTAGCTGCTAAAGGCTACGTGATGTAGCAGTCTGAACTTAGAGGTTTCGTGTTTTTTATATTTCTACGTCTTTAAGTTAAAAGTAGTTCATCTGTAGGTGAGAAAACTTGTTATTAGGTCTTTACTCTGTGTGAAACTACATCCTTTTAACTTGCTTTTCGTCATGCTTATCTATAAGAAGTTATTAATGTGATTGTAATTATGAAAACTTAATAATGGCAGCCCACCAGAGTAGTGTGTGAAAAGTAGCCACTTATTGATAGTTTGATTGTAAGTAAAGGAATGAGGAGAGAAGAGGCTTGATTTTGTTCCTTCCAGAATGAACAACTCAATGTAGGCTTGAAAGTGGGTCAGATCTAAGTCTTTCTGTCACCAGACATATCAGTAGGTTTTATGAAGAGCTGAAATGCTGGTTTTATGAGTTGGACATGGCTGGCTGTGTCCTTTGTGGGGCCTGGAGTCATTTTGATGGAATCAGCAGCACAACTAGTCTGACCTGTTGAGTGTTTGCCGTGTTTTACAGGGAGCGCTGGGGGAGAATCAGAAAGTTGAAAGGTAAATAAGTAGGGGTGCACCAATAAATCAGCCAGATGATTTATTAATTTCTTTAATTTGTGGAGATTGTAAATCGGCTGATAGATAAGATCTGTGGAAAAGATCAGCTTCTCATCTTCCACAAAGGTCTTAAAATCACTACTCTCTCCTCTGCTCTGGTGTGAGCACTACAATAAAGTCCAGCTAAAACAAGTTCGTATTGTTTCAAGGGTATTGTTCAATATTTTTCTATAAAATAAGATTTAAACTTTGCAGGTGTATTCTAGGGCTGTGTATTGGCAAGAATTTGGCGTTAAGATACATTTCTTGACAGAGGGGTCACGATACGATATATCCCGATATATTGCGATACTGTGAACAAGGCGATATATTGCGATTTTTTTTGTCCAAAAATTCTATTAAATAAAAACCTCTTACTGGGGGAAAAAATGAAAAACCAAAATTCATTGTCTCAGAAAATTCTAATATTACATAGACATGTTTTTGATACATTTAGCTGTGTTCTGCTTTGTATGCGTTTTTATTTTATTTGTTTCATATTTCTTATTTCATCCATGTTTTCAATTATTAGACTAAATCTGACAATAAATAGTTTGAAAATATATTTTTTGCAGCTTTTAGTTTTTAATATTAATTTACAATAAGGTCACCCAACACTTAACGTACAGAGGTAGAGGAGCCAAATGTCTGGCTCACTGCTGCCAACTAGTGGTCAGAGGCTGAACTACAACATAAAAATGAACAGCTGGCAGGAAAGTTGACATTTTAAACCTTAATAAAAAAAATCGATACAGGGCTTTAGAATATCGATACAGTATCAGGAAATGAAATATCGCGATATTTCAATGTATCGATGTTTTCTTACACCCCTAGTGTATTGTGACCTTATAACACCTGACAGTGTCAGTTATTTAAAAAAATCAGAAACAGACAAAATTGGAGTCAGATCAGACATTTTTAAAGCTCGTGTTAGGCCAGAAAACTGCAATCTGTAAACAAGAAAAGAAAAAAAATCATTATTATAAAATGTGTTTATTCAATTGTCAATTGAAAATATAGTTTGTCGTAATGTATTGAAATGTTATTTAAGAGAGTTTTGGTTTCTTCTGTTCTTATTAACAGTAGGGTTGGGCATAATCGTATCGTGTGCAATTAATCGTCAGAAAAACATTAATCCATTACTTTTTGGCACTTGACAATTAATACAATTAATGCCAGCAGGCAGACTGACTGGGATTACTCCGGTCAGTCCGCTCAGTACTCCTCTCCGCTTCAAATATGACAAACATTAAAATAAAGTTCTGTAATTTATTTATCAACACAATTTAAAACATGATGTATAGCCTGAAATCTGTAATTTTCACACAGTTTGGAACAATTTTTTACAAAAAGCAAATCTTTCCCACTAAGTTGGTCATGTGACTACGAAATAAGGGTGTCCAGGGACTCAGGGCATTAATCGTCAAATTAATCGTTATCGGCTAAATACCACAATTAATCGTGATTAAATTTTTTTGCCAATATCGCCCAACCCTAATTAACAGTTTGTTAAAAAGTTATTTGTTCAGTGGGAATATAATGCAGTGTTTAAAACAGTGCCACATCAAATGAATAAGAGCAGAAGAAGGCAGCTATTATCCACCTACAAAGAGTCTCTATACTTTATCTTTTTATAGTCGTACATTAATGCGGCACAAACTGCAACATGTATCCCTACGTCAACACGACTGGCTCATAATACAGCTACAATTTTCTTGATAAACAGACAATATATGAATCAGAACAAAGGCATTTTTGTCTTCCAGCCAGTATTTCTGGTTTTGCAGCAGGACAAATGGTTTTACTGTACAAACTCACTCCAAAGCCAAACGGTCAGTGCGCACTCACGTGGTTGTTGGGCGTTCGTTTTTGGATACACCTTTCAAAGTCATTGGCTGTGTCCAAAACGACAGGCCGGGTCCTCCGGAGGACCCAGACTACCCGGTCGAGGTGGGCCGGGTCCTTGGTAGACCAGGAAGACCAGAAAAAAAGAGTCTCAATTTGGACGGTCTAGCCTCCCCTCCACCCCGGTGTACGTCATGTCACCTAGCAACTGTGACGACGCTAAACAGAAGCAAAAACAGATCAAAAATAGAAAAATATCAATACATTAGCATTATTAATATCACAAAACAATAAAATTAACTTAAAGATATCATTTTGAAGAACTAATTGACCCGCTGTAGGTTCATGTTTATTTCACGTTTTTTATGATAAAAATAATATTTAAAAGCATGTCCATACAAA